GTTAGTTGGAAAGGCCCCAATACCCAATGCTGGTGTTAACATATTTACCTATACCCTCAATCTATCTACTACCAATGTGAAAGAGACTGTTCTATATGGGCAACCCTTAAAAGAACCTCCTTAAATATTATTATTAAATGCTTTCTAGAACAATTTTCAGTTCCTAAAATTGAAGATGAAGAAGTTGAAATCCTTCATATAACTGCTATAGAAAATGTTGAAGAAACTTTTACAAATATACAAGATACAATAGACCTATTTGATTATCAAAACATGATGAAAACCCTTGCACCAACCCTATTTGAATATATTACCACCTTCTTACAATCTATCCAAATATGAAATTTAGTCAAGAAGGAATCCACTATGAAGAAATGCATTGTACTTGGTTCTATATTGAACATATTAGTACCTGACTATCTCAAAAATCTAATAGAAGAGACTGGCCTAAAGATTGGAAAAGACCAACAGCTCAATATTAATATGAAGATAAACTTTACTCACTATCTGATAAATGCTCCAAATATCATATTGATTTCTGGTTATAGCATACTATTAAATAATGTTCTTTAAAAGAAATTGCTAAATGTTACTAGCCTACATCTGATGATGAAAACCATGATACCTGGGATGACCTTATTAAAGAAGCTGACCAAATCTAACCTGAAATGAACCTTATTAATGACACTCCAATTGAAAATCCTTTTAAAAGACCAGAAAGTGATAACCAGTATCTGCTAAGTGATTATAATCCTAATGAAGAGATAGATACTTTTAGTAATGTAGAATTTAATAATACCAGTAATCTTAATATAGAAGTAACATTAGTTGATGAACCCTAGTGGTTCTCTCTTTTAGAAACCTCCTCCTTAGAATATTATTTAGAATTTAATAACTATTCAGAACACTATCTATATAATGTAGTTTGGTAGCAAGTAGTTAATTTGACTTATTATTATTATTAGTTATTTTATTTATATATTATATTCATATTTTATTAAAAAGAAAAAAATAGACAAAAAACAAAAAAAAAAAAGATAAAAACAAATAATAACAAAAAAATATATATATAAAAAGAAAAGAAAAGACAAAAAAAATATATATATAATATATATATAACAAATTAAAAACTAACATCTGACATTCTATCTCTATTATTATTATTCTCTTCTCTTCTTCTTTTTTCTGCCCTTAATCTTCTCAACTCTTTGCCAACCTTGCCCTCAACCTGTTTCTTTTCTCCAATAACTGAGTATACCTTTGTTTCAACATCCAACTGTCCTGAACTCTTGCAACTACATTTACTCTTAACTTTTCTAACTCTGTCTCCAAGCTTTGTATTTTTCTTCTTAATGAGGTCATCAACTGATGTAAACTGTAACCAAGTTTTGTTAAGTGACAAAAAAAAAAAGAAGAGAAAACAAGAAAAATTTTAAAGATAATATTCATCACCTATTCTTAACTTGGACCATTTCTAAAGCCTCATACAAGGCATTATTGCCATTCTGGTAAGCATGATAAACATTTCCAGAAAGACTTTGTTGAGGCTAGGGTTGTGGCCCAAACCCTTTTTTTAAGTTATGACATTACTACATAGTTTGGGTTTGGGAATCAGAATTTCTACCTAATTTGGGTTCATGACCTAAACCCAAATATATATCTCATTGTGGTGAATAGTGTCAAACTTAATTTATTAAATAAATCTGTATACATTTAAAAATATATTTAAAAAGTTTAAATTAATAATTTAATCGAGTTTATTCAGGTTCAAAGGGACAATCTTTTAAAAAATCAAATTCAATTCAAAAACTAAGTAAGACTAAAACATGATTAGATTGACTGATTATCAGATATAGATAGTAACATGCAAAAATTTTTTGGTAAGTAATAACCTGTAAACCAGAATTCATTTTTCATCACTTAAAACTTGTAGTAAAGCACATGTATGATCAAAAAAAAGGGCTATTAAACTTGATATATCTAATGCCTTTTTGATATTTAATAGGATCTAATAATGCTCATTAAGCCAAAATTTAACCCTTTTACTAGTAATACTTGAATTTCTTCAGAGTGAATCCTATGATGAAAAGATAAATTTTGGATTACAGGTTTTTACCTGGCAGTATCCATATTATAATTCAGCCTTTCTCATGAAGCTATTTATTTAATATCATAAAACTAGTTTTAAAACAATTACTTAGCTAAATCATTTTGTCACATTTGGTTCTATTTAAATAGATCCATGGCATTAAAATGAATTTTAGATCAAAAGCTTGATTTTCCTAATTTGATAAGACACATATGATTATTGAAATTACTTTTCAAAGAATTAATATTATATTACTGCTGACAATTACTGTCATGGCTAATGCTGAAATTGACTGATGCAAAAATTTGGGGTCTTGATTTGAAAATATAAGCACTTCTAAAATCTACATATACTCTTTATAAAATCTACCCAAACCCTAACACTGTATCAGCCAATTTTAGCATTAGCTGTGACAATTATTATTGCAAGTCTTGAATCAGGCCACACAAATCAAATACCAATCACATATTTATAAATTAATAATATAATCTAAATTATTTAGATACTGGAAAAAGAGAATTGGTAATAATAGAAATTGCAGTCTAGAACTTTTAAAAATAATTAAATTGGCATTATATAAACAAAAATAATGTATTTTAAAAGCAATAAAATTTTTATTTTAATAATAAATCATATGCATCTTTAAATAAGCTCTATATTATGTCATTTTATAAATAATTTTAGTAGTTGTGTTGGATACATCGAATTTTTTTTTTATTTGTTGACCACATGCCACAATTATCTTGATGCCATCAACTAAAAATTTTCTCAAAAAAAAAAAAAGGTTATGTGCATTGCCAAAAACATGTATTTGTTAACAAACCTGTATGAACACATGCTAGTATCTTTTGATATTCCATGATAATGGCATAATTTATTTTTCATAAATGTATACTTGTACTTCTCAATTATTAAAGTGACTTGTATATATAAATATAGTGTCTTCATTTTATATAAACTGCAATTAAATTTGAAAAATAGTTATTCTGAAAAAAAAAAACCAATCATGTCAGTTAACAAATCTTCTAGTTCCAAACCACTCGAATCTACTTCTGTGAAATGTAAGGCAGATAAAAGCAAAGAAGGTAGACCAAGAATGCCAATTTGTAATGACTTTAGTGAAGGCAAAGATGATAAGCATAAGCATTTTAGAGCAAATTGCTATTATTATGACAGAGGAAAATGGCAGTGTGAAAAACCTTTTACTATAGAAGCACATTTAGTACTTCATTGCAAAAGACTGGTGCCAGATGATATTAGAAGAAAATGTTTAATTAAAGTTGTGAAAAAAGGTGAAAAAGTTAATGATAAGGATGACGAAACTTCTGCTAGAAAAAAAATCAAATTAACCAATCAATCGATTACTTTACACTACCCACCTATTAACAAATTATCCTCTTAACAATCTACAGACATTACAAAAGCATTACTTAAAGCTTTTGTATATTGTGAAATTCCCTTCACGATTATCGATAATCCATACTTCTGGGATTTTTTGAAACTTTTACAACCTGGCTATATATTACTGCATAAAGATGCACTTTCAGGTTCATTACTTGATGGGGAAATTGTGCAGATCATTGTTAAAATATAAGTTAAATTACAAATACAGATAATTTAATCCTATATAAGTTATATTAATTTAATTTAATTAATTTTAATTTATATAATAATAAATATAATATCTATAAATTTAATTCATAGCACTTGATAGTTGGACTTTACCAAGAGGCGATTCACTTTATAACTTCATTATTGCAACTCCAACCCATTATGAGTATCTTTATGCTCTAGATGATTATTCAGGAGAACATCAAACAGGAAATTTTATTGCTAGTAAAATTTCTGACATTATTGAAAAAATTGGTCCTCATCGGTTTGCAGCAATTGTTACAGATAATAGATCTAATGTACATGTTGCACAAGAAACTATTTATTACAATTATTCCTATATCTTAAACATCCACTGTGTTGCTCATGCATTAAATCTTTTAGTAGCTGATTTTGTAAAAGTTATATTGATTAGAGAGATCTTAAAACAAGCTAATATGTTAATTGCATTTTTTCAAAAATCTCATTTGGCTAGTAGACTTCTACATGATACAATCATATCGATGAATATTAAAGATGAATCATTGGTAGTAGATAGATTGAGGGTATAGGTAAATATGTTAACACCAGCATTGGGTATTGGGGCCTTTCCAACTAAC